ATTCATCGAGTTCTTAATTATTCAGCGAGAAGCCTACATTAAATTCGGGAAACACTAAAACACCTCATTAGCTTAATATTCACATTCTCCAACAAATTCACGTTCTCATTCATATTTATGTTAACTGGAGCAGAGCCATTCCATAACTAGTTAGTGCTACTAACTGTGTTGTTTAGAGTTTTTATGAATTAAGAGCTGTTTTACTTTGATCAGGTGTCATGGAAAACTCACAAAAATTGAAATTAACGGGGTCGCCCTTTAACAAAGTACATCCTTTAAACATTTTTATAACAAACATTATGGGAAATGCCACTTTAAAATTTTCTTATATATAATACATTGAATTTATAAAGTTTGGCAAGCAATTGGAAGCTTGGAAAAATTCAACATTGAATTATTATTTTTATTATTATTTTATTATTATTTTTTAATTAACATTAATAAAATAAATAAATCTTCAAGTACATTTGTCACGTTAGCCAGCAGTAATTCGATGGAAACCCAAGTACCTTTGCGAAATGTTCGTTGTTTGCCGAAGCTATCGCCGCTCTTTGCCAGTGGCAACTCGTGATAATTTGTGCAGCGCCCGGTGGCTCCGGATTCAAATTGGAAACGCCATCATGCTCCATTAACCCCCAGGCGCCCCCGCACCACCCCCCAAAAAAAAGAAAAGATTCGGCAGAACGATCGATCGTTGGTTGGCTGGGATGAACCTAAGGGGAAGGCGGTGGGCGGTGGGCGGTGGGCGGTGGTGTTTTTGGCGTGCGAAGCGCTTTCGCGATCAATTGCACGTCGCTCGCTGAAAAGCGCTCGGCAATCTATCGCCGGCTCGCTCGCTCTCCATTGGCCCCCATTTGCTGCTGACGCCGGCAGCGGCACGTGCCGCACAATCTTAGCGCGGTTCCATTGCTCCGGCCCGCTCACCCGCTCCCCCTCCCCCTTTCCCCTCCCTCCGGTCGACGGAGCAGTCTCCGTTTCCGTCGCCGCGTTGTTTGTTGTTTGCTCATGAGCTTTTGTTATTTTTCCAACCGATGTTGACTCTTGCTCTGTCGCCATGCCGGATCGCTCGGCTGAATTCCCCCTTTCCCGCTACAATCTTCATTTCTGGTGCTATAGTACTGACCCAACTGGATAGCCCCCTATGTCGGTAATGAGACAAGTTCAATTTAATTTCTCTAAGTTACTAAGTAAGGCTATAGTGGTTTCAAAATTGATTATTTAAAATTATTTTAAAGTCAGAAATTATAAAAACTAAATAGAAAACAGGAAAAAGAAGTATGCATTGAGTAAATGAATTCAAATTAAAAGAGAATTAATCATCTGTTATTTATTGACTTAACGAAAGTTTAGTTTTAATCTTAATTTCCTGTATTTATTATTAAGATTTCTTTTTCTTAATTTAATTTAATTTATAGGAATAAATGTACTTTTTATAGTTCTAATATTTATTACAAAGATTCAGGTACTTGGACACTTGGCATCACTTGTACCGCAATCAGATTTTATGGAACAGGCGCGTGTCGAGATTTGCTCAATACTTATTTTTAAACGCACCTTAATGGGTCAGAGACGTTATGCAATTCTCTCCCGAAACAATTCCCTTTTCGAGCATAAATATTTTCATTTGTTTTCCTCCCCTTTCTTTTTTTGGGCCAGCTTGCGTAATTGGCCAAAGTGTGTTCCGTTGAAGTGGGTTCATCGGAGTTATGTAAGCGTTGCATTGACTTTGGATCGGAATTGCATTACAGTTGACATTGTGCATTTTTGCGGTTTTCTTTTTACTTTGATTGGTTGCGAATTGAGAACTAATTAATCTGCAATTAAAAGAAGGTGTCACCCTACGCGAGGCTTAAACGGCAGAAACAAAAGTCGAAAGCTATACGAGCTATTTGTTTTGATATGGCACAAGTTTCGATTGTTGTTATGACTCAAAAATTCAGTTATTTCACAAGTAAAAGACACAATTTATTTGCATTGAAAGGCTTGCAGAATAATATATGCATTTTAATTTTTAAAGAAATTACTTACTAAATTTTAAATGTTATAATACATTTATGGTATCTTTTAGCTGCAGAAAACTACCTAAAATAATTTCAAACCGCTTCCGCTGCCTTAAAAACAACTTGAAAGAGTTCCTGATCAGTAAAAGAAAAAAGCTCACATGTAAGTGCTTGGAAATTCGTCATAGTTCGGTTATCCCCAACTGAAAGTGCCTCTTCAGATTTCACGAGTCTTAAAATGTTTCGGGCTCAATAATTCTTTTACGTAAAACCAAAGCAAAAAAGCGTGACGCTTACACGCGCCCATTTAAGCCGAAAAACATACGGAGCAAAAGGAAGCAATTATTCTGCCAAGTAAACTAAGACGCTTCTTGCGCAAGCTTCTGCACTGACCATTTGACAACTTAAAAAACGCAAAAACAAGGGGAAAAAAGTGTTGATACTTAAGATTTGTTGCGACACGCAGATCATACATAGCACGCGTTTGCGAAACACTGAAGCAGAGCAAATAAAAACGCTCGGAGTTGTGGACTTTTGGCAGTGAGTTTGCAATGAGCCATAATTACCAAAACGTGCCTCGATTGGAAGCTAAAGTCAATCTATTCCAAGAATTCGATTGTTTAGAACCCAAGCGCGTGTCGCTGGCTGCTAATCGAAGTTAAGTTGGGTCAGTAATGAGTACTTAGAAAAAGTTGAATAAATATCAGAGATAATTACTGTTTCAATTTTAATTACTATCCGTTAGGTATTAAAATTGAGTAACATTGGCAATAGTACTACTTTTAAAAATATGTTAACATAGTTTTTCTTTAAGTGTACCAACGCAATGCTCATAAGCTTCAATGGGCAAATAAAGTAGAACACACAAGCGTTAAACTATTTACATACTCTTGATTTATGGGCCGTTTTATCTGCTTTTGCTGGCAATTCTGACAGGGGAAAACCGGCACGACTCCCAAAGGTGTTGTGCGGCATAATCACTCCCGATCCCATTTCAATCCCATCCCCCTGCCACTGGCACCTGTTCGAAATGTTGGCGGGCTTGGTGCATTATCATACCCGATAATCGCACGGTGGCGGCGTTTCCAACATCAATCAGACGCCCACACAGGCGCTGTCCCATTCCATTCTATTTGGCTAATTGACAGAACGTCGCCTGCAAATTAAATGTCGGATAATGGCAATTACAGTGGACATTGCCCTTGATAGAAAAATGTGAGGTCGGAAGTGCCTAGCTTGCATAGGAATAAAAATAAAATGCATTTAAATGTATATAAGATTTGTAAGCTCATTAATACACCTTCAAAATGGCAATTACAGTGGATATTGGTAAGAATCATCAACTAATTTAACAATTTTTAAATATAAATCAAAATAAAATCGTCTATATGTTATGTTATCATTAAATAATTAAACAATTTTTTAATATAAATCGAAATAAAATAGTCTACATGATATGTTTTAAAACAGAAATTTAGATTTACTATAGAGTTATCGGCAATAATTATGACCAACTTAACACAAAACATTTTTGTGAATCCAACTTCCATTATTTATTCAGTTTGAAAAATTTTAAAATTTGTTTGAATTCATAACAACTTTGTTCTTAGGCCGTTAACCTATCATTTATTGCTTTTTACCCCAGTGACAAGAATAAACTTCGTTGGTAATAAAACATCGTAGACGAATTTTAATTTTATTAATAGGCCCAAAGCGTAAAAAATTCCACAGAAATATTCCAAAATCTGTGAGTTGACAATGGAAATACGAAATATATCTGATCACAATCTGGACCACCGAAAGGTGCTCGAATCGGTTAATTTGAGATGCAAATCTGGTCTAGGAAACTAGACAACCGGACTCGTGTTCTCAATAGACAAGTCAGACTGTGCGCCATTATCCATATATCCACATGTCGGAATACTATATACGGAGTGTGCTGGGAATGTCGCCGCGAATTCCACGAAGCGGAATACAATCGAGTGGAATTAAAAATGCTAAAAAAAATAATAAACCACAATGAAGCGTGTGAACTCAGCTGCAGTCGCGTGGACTATGACAGGCTATGACAAAAGCACGGCGCGTGTGGCTCAGAGTGGCTCGCCGATTCAGTGGTTCGGCGGCTCAGCGGTGGCTCGGTGGGTCGGTGGCGCACTGGCTTAGAGTGGGGCCCGTCCGCACCACTGGAGTCTCGAGCGGCATCTCCGGCGACTGGTTTTTTTCAGAGCCATTTGCTTTATTTTCCTACCTTTATTTAAGATTATTTTTAACTCTTTTTCTGCCTTGGCAAACACGCGCTTGTTGGCTAATTTTTCTTGGGCTTGCTTTCTTTTTTGCGGCGGGGGAATTCCAGAAACGTTTCAATGCGGTCTGCTCGCCAGTTTCTGGCCTTTTGGTGGCTAACATTTTAATGCCAAACAGCCAGACAAGCGACGACGGATGGCACAGACCCGACACGCTGCAAATTCTAATTAATGACAGTTTTAGACATTTTTGCGCTAGACGGCGCCAAAGACAAAACAACAACAAAAAAAAAAATACAAAAAAACAAAAAAAAAAAAAAAAAAGCTCGGCTTGAAAAAAGCAGCATCTAAAAAATGTTCGTCTTAAATGTATGTGGTGTCTGTGTTTGGCCGTAGATTTGAGCCCGCGGGGCATGTCTGGCCAAAATCTGTTGAAAGAGGCAACGGATCGGATGATCATTTCATATAAAGAAGGGTTTTTTCTAAAAATAAAAGAGAACTAATGATCGATAAGTTGATTCTGAGCTTGTCTGTGGCGTCGTATTGAAAGTTGAGCGATGTTTCAATTTTGTATCTCGCAAATCCATCAAAAACAAATCACTTAAGTCGGTTGGGTTTCATATGTAAAAGATATAGATGATTTGCAAAGCTGTTAATCAAGCTTCGTCACCTTATGAACATTATGAAAACCTGGAAACTACAAGATAAATTTAAATTTTATTTATGAATACACCTGTGAATTAGTAAACGTAGTAAGTAACCCCTTATAAAAACCTTTTATTTTATAGTAAGTTGCTTTTCAACTAATCAGGGCTATAGGACTTGGGAAAACAAAGTTGTTAAATCAGTTCCGTACTTTAATCTATTCGTAATCAAAGTCAGTTCCGCCTAGCATGAGCCAAACAAAATTCCTGCTCGTTAAGATTCCGAGATTCCGAGAAACCTAAGTCGCTCAGCATCCTGCAAACGGTGATCCGCAAGAAGCCAGTCATTGAATTAAGTCAAATGGGAGTCACTTTCGACTTGTGACTCACCTCCGATCGTTTGGACATTGGTCTGGCGTCATAAAGGTGGGTGGGTCGTGGGAGAGTCGGGAGGTGGGCCGATCGACAAGGTCGTTGCGTCAGCGTTCCACGATGACGTCGGTCGCCCTGCTGTACTTTGCTCCGGCGGTGATTGCATGTTGCCGCCGGCGGCTTCTCGGCTTCCCAACAGCCGTCTGTACAGGTTTCTCGAGCTGGCCGCCGTTCCAGCGGTTTCGACGGGTAACCACCACCACATCACCCGGCTGATAAGCTGTTTACGCCAACCGATGTCTTGGGCCTCGGCAGACAATCAGTCATATATGACTGTATAGTGTATATATAGTATATATATGGTAGTGCTCGTATGTACGTACACATCTGCTATAGCTTGCGGGCGGCTTATCGGAGTACTCACTGTGCGAGAAGGCAAATGGTGAAATTAACGACTCGTGCTCGTGCTTCGCATTGCAGCGCACGTAGACGCCTTCGGTTTGAGCACTGAAAAAAAAAAATATATATGAATAGAAAAACTAATTACCAATTTTAAATCATTTATTAATAGAAGGTTTTATTTTACTTGATATATTACTATTTATAATTTATAAGTATGCAGCTTCATCAATCTTGAGATTGTATTTTAAGATATTTGACTATTTTTAGAACAAAAGAAATACAAGATAATTACAGTCTTTAATTAGTCTTTTGTATTTAAGTCTTTTATAATGCGAATTAAATAAAATTTTAAAAGTCAACAATAGATGGACAATACAATTAATTGAAAACTTTTTTAAATATATATGTATGTATCTTTAAATATGTATGCGTAAATCATTTCAATGACTTCCTTTTTAGATTCTTTGGCACCTGGTGGAGTTTTGTATTAAAAAGGGAAATTAGAAAGCACTCCACTTTTGTTTACTGTGTACCCGCAGACCCTGCTGAGGAGTACGTGGTGCGGTGCATGGGATCCGCGGTCTGCTGTGCTCTTATCTGGGTCCCCGGGCCGACTTTAGTAAGCGACTAAGGGCTAGGCCAACACTTGTGCTTTCAATGTTTCTATGTGGGTCACACGGCCCCGACTTTCGATTAAAGTCTTTGACGTCAGCGACTGGGTGCCGGAACTCGAGGTAGAATCAGCCCAAAGATCGTACGATGCATGCAATCAGCATGATTTCGTCTGGCGAATCGTACACCCACCCATCCAATCATCCAATATCCGTGGCAATCGGCGACCTAATCGCGTGACACCGTACAAAATTTCCTTTTTCGGGGCTCGACTCATTTCCGGATGGCGACTGTTGCCATATTCCTCAAATGAAAAGTGCTGAATGTGATGGCTATAATTAAAATATTACTACGGTACTACGCTATCAATTACAAATCGATAATGGCCATTCGTGTGACCTTAAAAGGAGCATTTTCTATGCGGAACTATTTAGTGGGCTTATCAGGGTTGTGTCATTTTCAGGGGTGAATATGTAACTATTTCAAACTATTGAGTAACTCTGTCTGTTAAAATAGTGGACAGCTGCATTTATTTTTAGCATTCGTGCAAATAAATATATACTAGTAAAATATGATTTTAATTACAGATAATCATAATAATGTGATTCGTTGGAATTGAAAAGCATTAGGTTTGATCTTGTAAGTTATAACAAAAACGTATTCCCTGGTATCTCAATTTATTATTCCCACCTTAAGAGTTGTTTACTCCTCACCGACATTCGTGCTGATTAGAATGTCATTATGATATATCAGCCTGCACGTGGCTGTCTAAAAATAGGGCAAATCCCTGAGATGAAGCGGAACGAACTTCAAAAATACCTCCCGACTTCCCAGACAGAGAGATTCACACTGATATGGAAATTTTTGTCATCCGCTAATTGTGACATCTAAATCAAATGTTATCAGGTGTTAAATGCAGTAAAGCTTGTAAATAGTGGAGTGGGTCTATCTAATGATAGCAAATTGGGGTCTGGGCCCAAGAAACTCACTGTAGTTTTCCATTGCGTTGCGAGAAGCAACAAAAAATCTTCCGCTCCAGACGGCCGGTCCATGGTGTGAATTGTCAACAGTGGTGGCCCTTCTCACGATTTTTAGTGCTATTTCGGGCGAATTAACCTCGTCGCTACTGAATACTTGGCACTGGATACTGGATACTGGATATTCAGACGTGATACTTGCGTCATAAGGTCGGATCACGATATCTCCAAACCGAGCCCAAGGCGCTAAGTTTGCGGTTAAGACTTGGCGATCGATTTATTTTTGGCTTTCGCGCCATAGATTGATTGTGCCCACAAGAAAAACAAATGCGACTGCGACAGTGACTGCTTTATAAATAAATAAACAGTGCCAAAAATATCACAAATAACAAAAGAGTTTCAGTGGAAGATGAATGGCATTGTTGTTGCCATTGGTCGGTTGCTTTCCTGAGGTTTTTTTCCGAGATTTCGGCAGCTTTATTTCATTTGTTACTCATTTGTGCCACCGAGTCGATGAAATAACGCCAAAGCGTGCCCCCAGTCAAGTTATTTTTATTGTTAATTAATACCTTTTATTTTTATGTGCACAGAAAACACTAGAAATCCACATACTCGTATACAAATATATAAGCTAAGATCTCCGAGCATTATGATCGGGCTCGGAGTCCAACGGCTTAAAATTTGCAATTCAAATTCGCACCCAGAAATAAGCAGACGGCGGAAAAAGTCACCTTGCTTGGAATTTCGCTGGTGGACATAAACAAAATGCTTTAAGAGCTAAGAAAAAAAGGTTAACACCATAACTCAATCCGCAATAAAAGATCTATAAATGCTGAATCTTGAAAAGCTGAAAAGAATATTTGCTTAGAGTCCAGGCTAGATTATATCCTATACTTGCCAAGATTAAGATGGCCTCTTCCACAGCAAAAATATTTTTATAAATTTCTGGAAAACATTTACCCCCTTAAAAGAACAAAGTCTAAATCGTATATAGTAAGTCCCCCGCCACAAGAATTTCGTGGGTTTATCTCTTGTTAGCGTTATTTGTTAACTTGGTGGCTATTTACTCTGTATAAAACACTTTATATCCACTTTTTCTGGAGAAACTGACTCTGGCAGTTGGACACCCGATTCGGTGTCAGTGGCTGAGTTACGACCCACAGAACCACTCGAGCTGACGCACCTGGAATTCCCCATAAATCAGTCGCAAATAACTAGAAGCAGCTTGTTTGTTCGCTTATTTGTTTGAATATTTTGTTTATTTTCGGTTATTCGGTTTTTGCTGTTTTTTTTTTTGTTTTGTCGCGGCCGGGAATTATACAGTAGCCCTACCACAGTAAGGCCGAATCATAAAACAACAGCGGATAAAAATCGCGACAATATCGACAGATAGACAAGGGGAAAGCTAAAGACAGGTTGGGGCATCATTTGTTGATTTATAATTGGCTGCGACCGTACACTGGCTTCATATTAATTACTATTATTATGTATGGAAATATCCGAATGGAATCGAGCTTATATTTCGGTAGTCAAATTATGGTGGCGTGATTATTTCATGATGATTAAATTGATTCTGAATTAGTATGGGCCACAAAAAAATATGAGAATCTTTTTCCTATTATCATTTCCAAGAATCTGGCTTCTGGATAACATGCGAGGTCACTTAAGATTCTTATAGAAGAAATAAAACCAATTCCTTATGTTAATTTAAAATCTTGTTTGTTAGATTCAAAATACCAGGCAAATCGTACAAAATGTGGTTCTATGAATATTCTTTCTGCTGTTTAGCAAATAGGTCAATCTATAAAGTCAAGCCGTCTAATAATAACAATAGAATATATAATTGACAAAACTAAGTAACTCTTTTAATGTACAAAAATAAACTACTTTTTTAATTTCTTTTTCCTAAGACCTATTTGAAAGCCCATCAACGCACACAATTGGTAATATCTCTTTCTTTTATGGCCGCTTTGCTTTTGTTATTGGCAATTGAGCGAGCTAACAATGTTTTTAACGACGTTCAAGGTCGGGCAAGGTCGTTATAATCGTGCAAGCCCAATATTTTGGCTCGTCCAATGACCCACTTGATCGTTGATCGTGTTTGTGGGGAGTGCGCCAGATCAAAACAAGGGAAACAGAGACGGCGGCGAGCCAGTAAATAGCAATTCCAATGGCTCACGCGGCGTATGCGCAATAAAGTCACTAAATGCGACCAAACCCAGCCGAAAAAGGCGCGTTCATTGTACACATAAGCGTATGCAGCCAGAAAGCAACACATCCCCTCGGAGTGGACTGGGGCTGTGGCATGTGCGATTCCAAGTCTGGCGCTCAGCCGGAACTTTGACAGTAAAAACAAAAGCAAGAAACTGAACAACAAAACAGTAAAGCCAGCTTTGAGCTGCGCTATCTGGGAACAAAACTGGGGGACTGTGAATGGAACTGGAACCAAAAATAAAAAAAATATATATATAAATGGGGGAAAAAAAAACTGTGATCTGATGTGCGGGTGATTCGTGGGCGGGGGGCCAGATTGCAGCTTCAAAAGCGAAACAGCTTTGTTTGAATGTTTTATTGTTGTTTCCATTTCGCCGCATTGTTTTTGTCTCTGCCAGTGACGCCGCCGAACTTGAACCGCTCAAGGCCAAATTATGTCGATACACCCAGAAAGCAGAGGGTGCGATTTATGAATACGCCTGCCCCGGCTGTTATTCAACCAAATCGAAGGCAATGGGGGTGGTCTAGGCAAATATAACGAAGAATTCCGCATTACCCGAGGTCTATATTGCTAAGACAATCTTTGAGTTCTTACGACAGTAACTATTTTGCTAATGAAAGTTGATTATTTAAATGGTTGTTTATTATATTCTTTAATCGTTACAAAATGTATATCTTTGTTTTGTTGTATATATATATAATATATAGTATATTATACAAGATGACACATATCATATATTTATATTTTTCTACAGAAAAACATTAATATGTTGGTAGAAAATATAAATAACAATGTGAATTGCTTGTAACACAAAAGTAATTCCTGCATTACTAATTTGCTATTTGCACTCATTTCCGATAAAAGTAACCTTAGTTCCAAGAAATCACCCTGAACCCTTGCTTTCGCGTTCTTGGAAAGTAATCTCCATTACATTTCCGCTTTGTAACAAAGAAGGCCTTCGGAAGAAGCTCTTATCGCGACCACAGACAATCGTAATTGCTGTAAGAAGGCAGCCGCCAGAATTGAGCAATCTTATGCAACTGTTTCTTGGACTCAAAAGATGATTCCTTTGCCTGCTAGGATTACACAACCCTGGCTTAAAAAGGCGCCCAAAGGCTGAAGATCTACCTAACAGGTATTTTGAGTACCAGGTAATCCCGAAACTGACGCAATTGCGGCGCATTTAACACCTAGACTAGACCAGACTGGCTAAAACCGAGGAGCCGACCGACGAAGGTGATCAAGTGATCAAGGGGACTGGGTGATCAGTGGTCGGTGGTCGGTGGTTGGTGATC